CGAGCGAAAACGCAGTTGTTGTTCGCAATACCGTCGCGCACCCGCCTGCCTGCCTACCTCTGCGTCCCTCCCGGCTTCGAGCCCTCCCCTTCCTCATTCCTCTCTCCTCGCGTGCTGTTCTACCTCGGGCGGCCCCCGCTTCTCCCGCCTCGCTGTTGGTGATCGCGCGATGCTCTCTGCATTTCGCTGTTCCCACCATCATCCACCGCTATCGCTTCATTTGTTTTCGCATTCTCTCTGCGTCTCACTTCTTCCCTAATTGGCTTCCCGACCCCCCTTGCGTTCAGACGAGGAGTGCTCGGCAGGACAGGCAGTTGCAGGACTATCTTCGTCAACCGTTAGCAGCAGCGGCCAGGGATGAGGGAGGAACAGGAGCGACGAGGAGCGAAGGACCACTTCGTCAACTTGTGTAAAAAGGGTCGTCGAGCACCGCGCGGGGCCTTCTCAGGGTGTCCTCGTGCGCCCTGGCGGCCTGGAGTGTCAGGGTGTGAGGCTACTACACCCCAGTGGCCTCGGGTAAAAGGGTGTGAAGGTGTCGGGCTATAGTGGCTTGGGGTGCTAGGTCACAAGAGTGTAAGGTTACACCCTCATGGCATTGGGCGCAAGGGTGCAAGGGTACAAGGGTGTAAGGGCACACCCCAGCGGCCCAGGGTGTAAGGTTGCAAGGGCGCCAGGCTACACCGAATCGGCCTAGAGTGGAATGGTGTAAGACTACACCATGGTGGCCTAGGTGTAAGGGTGTTGGGGTGAAGGCCTCACCGTAGTGGCCGAGAGTGTAAGGGTGCGAGGGAGTAGGTTACACACCACTGGCCTAGGGTGTAAGGGTGTAAGGCTACGCCCTCGTGGCTTAGGGCGTAAGGATGTAGGGGCGCAAGGGCGAACTCAGCGCCCCAGATCCTGCCCACGCTGCTAGAAAATAGTGATTGTGCGAGACTGGCACTCCTGTACCTCGCTTCGGCCGTCTGAGGTTGTTTTTTGGGGTCACTCGTGCGCATTTGGTGGGCCACCCTGACGCTCTGTCGGGCCGGTGCGGGCGAATCCTGTCGGACAGACCTGGGGATTCCATGCGCGTGTGTTTGGTTTTTGTTGGCTTGTTTCTGGCACCCAGCCACGAATGAAGGGAAAGGGTTCCGAGGCCCAGGGGGTTGGTCCAGGATGCCAAGGATGGAGGATGCCAGGGAGGCCCATGTGGGGAAGCGAACAGAAAGAGGTCCGAAGTTTAAAACAAAGTTGTGTAATATCATCGTGGGCTCCGAGTTCAAGAACACAGCCGGGGCCGGGGGGGACTAGGCGGCTGGGGCCAGCGAAGGGGGGACGAACGACGACGACGACCACCACCGCGAACAGCAAAGGCCCCGCTCTCGGAGAACGCAGTTGACCAAGAGAAGTCATGGGACATGCAGCAGCCAAAGCCGCAGCTCCCGCAATGGAAGCGAGCTGAAATAATCATCTTTTAGGTGGAGCCACCGTGTTCCTGCTCCCGTGTTTGATTCTACCATTCTTCCAGCTCGGCGTCATGCTCATCCTCAATACGACCATCACCGTGTGCTTGACGTTTTTCTTCCTGATGCCCGCGCTGATGATATGTGGCCCCATGGGGCAGTGTGGACGAACACTGCGTGTGCTGTTCTGCATGGGGAAGCCCCGCCCACCTCCTTCTGCAGACGAGGGTGCCGTCGAACCTGCAGACGAGAATGCCTCCGAAGGAAATGACGAAGGAAACGATGCTGGGAGAGCTACGTGGGCCCATGACACCGCTCCGACAGCAACTTCCATCTAGCGCGGGCCTCCCCCGGAGCGCGGCGCGCCCGTGCTGCCGTAGCGCTCTTGCTCCTCGAGATCCCGTTCCAGAGATCCGACGCTCCAACAAAAGTTGGAGCTGCGGGATTTTGGCCGTTGTCGGCCTCCAGGAGCCCTCGTGGGGCCTCGGGAGCGTCGAACAATTATTATTTAATCGCTTTGCTCATTCCGCCGGCCCATACGGTCTCATGTCTGCCGTTTGCCCGAGGGCCTGGTGTCAATGCGGCGCTTTGGGGGTTCCTGGGGCCGCTTGGGGGACTCCTGGGGCGCTCGGGGGGGCATTTGGGGGGCCTCCTGGGGCCGCTTGGGGGACTCTTGGGGGCCTCCTGAGGGCCTCGTGGGGGCCTTTTGGGGCCTCTTAGGGGCCTCTTGGGGCCTCGTAGGGGCTTCTTAGGGCCGAGGGCTCGAAATTTTGTTTCGTGTTCCCTCTCTGGGGCCCCTCTGGGGGTGTTCTTGGGGCCCTCTTGGACCGTCTTGGAGGCTTCTTGGGCCGTCTTCGAGCCCTCTTGGGCCATCTTGGGGCCCTCTTGGGGGCCTCTTGGGCCCTCTTGGGGCGATCTTGGGGGCCTCTGGGGCCGTCTTGGGGCGTCGGGAACCGAAAAGGTGGAAGCTCCAAAATCTCTCAAAAACCTAAGGAAAAACAATGAATTTTGCCTCCGGGGGCCCTCTTGGGAGTGCTCTTGGAGGCCTCTTGGGGCGTCTGGGGGCTATCTTGGGCGTCTTGGAGCGATCTTGTGGCATGTCGGACCCCTCGTGTACCATCTTGGGGGCCTCTTGGGGGCCTCTTGGCCTTTCTTGGGGCTCTCGGGGACGTCTCGGAGCCCTGTTGGTGCGCTCATGGAGCGCTCCTGGAGCGCTCTGGGGGACTCCTCCCGGGACTCTCTCAGGACCTTGCCGGGGTACTTTTCGTCCGTGGACCCCCAGGGGCCGCCCCGCGCGCGCGAACTAGAGAATTGTTAACCAGTTACCGGAGATCTTAGCACGCCTCTGGCCCGTTGGGCCGGCGAATTTAGGACGAAAAATCAGGCCCAGGGAAGTGGTCCGGACCTCCGGGGCCCACGCATCGAAAAAGTTGGAGCGGCCGGATGTCTGGGGTGTCCTGCCTGGCGCCGCCTGTCAGTAACCCCTCGCGTCCATCTGACAGGAGGCGTCAAAGAAGGCGGTGAGGATTGCATCGAAGAAGAAAGAACGTCACACATAGAAGCTTTTGGCGCTCACCGTGGATTTCCCGCGCTGTGGCCCCCCCCGGCGGCGCCTCTTGCGCCGCCCCTAGCGCGCTCCACGCGACAGGGAGGGGGTCCAGCGCAGATCCAAGAAATCCGCGCGGAGCGCCACAAGCATATTTTTATGGCGTTGTTTCTTCTCCTAGTGTAGGGGGGGATAGAGACACATCGTGCCCCCCCTTCTTCTTTGAACGTGCTCCAGGGACCCCCCCCCTTGTCCGCGCACATGCCTCGGGCCGCCATGCGCCCCCTCCTTCTTCCTGGCCCCCCTACTCGGCGCGCCCGGCCTGAATGCGGGCATGTGTTCTGGGGTTGTGCTCGAGCGTGCCTGCACAAATGTGCTGGCTGCACCGCTCGAGCTCCCTGCCCCTGCGCCAGCCCTCTGCGACCCCACGCGCCCCGCGGCCCCCAAGAGACCCCGAGCAGCACCCGCCGAGCTTCGTCCGTCCCGAGACCTCCGACGTCGTGCCCCTGTTATTCGTCATATTATTCCTCTTCCTCCTCCTCCGCCCCCTCCTCCTCCTCCTCCTCCTCCTCCCCCTCCTCCTCCTCCTCCTCTTCCTCTCCTCCTCCTCCTCTCCTTCCGCCCCCTCCTCCCCTCCGCCTCCGCCCTCCTCCTTCTCCTCCTCGTCCTCCTCCTCCTTCTCCTCCTCCGCCTACCTCCCTCCGCCGCCACCTCCTCCTCCTCCTCCTCCTCCCCTCGCTCCTCCTCCTCCTTCTCCGCCTCGCCTCCTCCTTGCTCCTCCTCTTCTTCCTCCTCCTCCTCCTCCTCCTCCTCTCTCCTCCTCCGCCCCCTCCTCCTCCTCCTCCTCCTCTCCTCCTCCTCCTCCTCCTCCTCCGCCTCCTCCTCCTCCTCCTGCCTCCTCCTCCTGGCTCCGCCCCCCTCCTCCTCCTCCTCCTCCTCCTCCATAACACTCCGCCTCCGACTAATAATAATCCTCATCCTCCCTCCTCATCATCACCTCCTCCTCCTCTCCTCCTCCTTCCGCCTCCGCCTCCGCCTCGCCTCCTCCCGCCCCCTCCTCCTCTCCTCCTCCCCTCCTCCTCCTCCTCCGCCTCCTCCTCCTCCTCCTCCTCCTCCTCCGCCTCCTCCTCCTCCTCCAGTACCATCTCGGCTTAAGTCCCTCGTCGCGGGGCCGTCGGCCCGCCGTTCGACCGATGCCGGGTACGCAGGACGCCCGCGCTGCGAAGCTGTCGCTGGAAGCCGCGCGCGGCGCGGTCCTGGCGACGCACGCGGCGGCCAGGCTGGCGGGCGGCCAGCGGGAGGCGGTGCGCCTCATCCGCGCCGCCGAGGGCCTCCTTCGTGCGGCGGTCGCTGTGATGGCGACGCCCCCCGCGCCCGCCCCGCCCCAGACGGCGGCGGTCGCGCCCCCCGCTGCCCCTCGGCGGCGGCGCCGCCCGCGCGGACGTGGCGGGAGGGCGGGCGGCGGGAGCAACACGGAGATGGCCGTGGACGGGTGCGGGGCGGCGGAGGGTGCTGCGCGGGGCGCCGCGGCTCCCGCCTCGCCGCTGGCGTCCGACGAGTGGGCGGATGCGCTGCCCGTCGTCGTGAGCGCCAGGAACCAGGGCAAGGGCAAAGACAAGGGCAAGGTGGTGCCTGGCTTCCCCGCAGCGCGGGCCGCCCGCGTCGCGGTCGCGCTCGAGCTGGTGCAGCTCCCCGTCGCGGCGGCCAGCGGCGGCCCGGAGGGTGTCGGCGACATCGACGCGGGGGAGCTCTCGGCGCTGCAGGCCTGGGTGGCGAGCCAGGCGCCTGGTGGTCGTCCTCCCGGAGGTCGGCCCGGCGCTGCGGGCACGTCGTGATGCCCGTCGGCATGGGTAAGTCCGTCGGGGTCTGAGCCGTGGCACGACTGTTTCGTGTACGCTGTCGGGGGGTCTGGCTCCTCAGGTGGAGACCAGGCCCCCCGCGGTCTCGGCGGAGCGAACCTTCGCCGTCTGCCTCGCGCTCTCTCTCCCTCCTCCTCCTCCTCCTCCTCCTCC